TCTTTGTTTCATTCGCTTCCAAGGGGGGAGCTCCGCTCCTTTGTGGATTATTATACTGTCATCCTTTGTATGTTTGTGGATAGGTATGCAAGCATTTACGTGGTTACTTATTTCCCCATTTTAAGTGCCTGTTTGTCCATTCGCTACTTCCCCTGGGCGAAAAAAGCTTCAATGGAGGGCAACCGATCACCGGGACGAGTAACCGGAAAGCAGCCTTTACGGGTGCCTCCCCTACCGCTAAGCCTTCCGCCCAATGCGCTGCTGGTATACACTCAGAACGCGCTGTAGTGGATCCTCTCCACATGAGATGTTCCCATGAGGGTAATTCTCCCTTTGGCCAAAGGCACCGATCTGGAAGCAGAACCATCTGCGCGAGGGGCGGAAGATCTGTCTTCCGTTGAGCAAGGCAAAAACGCGCAGGCAACTCGGCGAAGGTTTGCAATAACTTCGTCACAGCTTCGGCCAACTTCGCAGTGGCGCAATTTTCCCGCCTAAACGGGGGAAAGATAATCCTCTCCCCCGGTGAGCGACTTTCCCCGCGTGAGCGACCGTCTCCCCGGAGCAACTGTCCCCCCGTGTTGTTTCTCCGGTACCGAATGAACATGAATTAACCTCCTGTGTGCATACAAAACGCGTATCCTCTTTTCACCGCTCAGTTAGCCCCTTCGGCCTCGCACATATGTCAGCGCTGGGGTGATGAACCTTTGTATGTACATCAGTGCGAAGATCGGTGGAGGAATATGCTCACGCGCACGGAAATGTACATGCTGCATGTTTGATTGTGCATTCAGGGCAGCTTCATATTGGTAATCCTTCCCCTTGCCTCTCCCTTTCTATTTTTTTTTTTTTTCCCCTTCTTGTGTAATTTTCCATTTATTGCGCCTTGAAAAGCCATTAAAAAGTTCACTCGTGAATCTCACCAATTATCACTTTTTCGAACTCGACGAATGCGACAAGGACAACTTATGTGTTCCCATTTTATCACACGCGTACGCGAATTTGGGATGCACCCCACTATTCATTTTCGCATCCGTTTTGCCACTACGTTGCCACTTTGTTTGCCAATTTTATGCCACTTTTTTGCTGAAAATTTGCCACCTCTTTGCCATTTTTTTGTTTTATGATTCCCCTGGTGTGTTTCCTCCGCCACAGCAGAACTCCGCATCTGTTCTAATCAGCCGAGCCGCATAGCAGCTTGACAACATAGCGTCTTGGCAACCTGCTAGCCGCACTTCAACACAAGAGAGGGCGAGAAGCGACAGAAAAGACGGAGAAGACCGACAAGCGGGTGCGTCCCACGGCGCTTTCACGCATCAGCAGATACGTATTCCCAGTGGAGTGGGAAAAGAAGGTATCTCTTTCGTTCCCTGCGTCCCCGCGATCGCTCTGCAAGCCGCATTGCAGGTCCCATTGCAGGCTGCCTCGTAATTCGCTTCGTGTGTCGTGTGTCGCCTTCCCTCCCCTTCTTGCGGGACTTCCCGCTTACGACAAAGGAGGAGCGCCATGTCTACAATTCGATGGGTGGATCTGCTATCCAGCGAGTCAAGTAAAGGAAAAAAAGAAACAAAACGGAGCGCCTAGTGTGTGTCACTCCGTCCAGTGTTAATAATTTCCCTCGTTATGCACAGGGGGGGGGAGATTCTCCAGTCTCTGTGAGTTGTCTCCTCCCCATGTGGAGCTTCCCCCATTTGGATTTCCCCCATTTGGAGTTGCCCCCCTTTTCTTCCCTCCCCCCTCCGATTCGCAGACCTCTCCCACTCAGTCGCGAACAACGAGGATGTCGTTGAGAAGGCCAAGAAAAAAAAATTCCCCTATCATCAGGAGAGGGACCTTAACAGTAGCTTCTTAAATTCATACACGGCAGATCTGGACAACAGCAATGTGGGAATAAATTTGAAGATAAAAAATATGTCCATCGTGGAGAAAACGGAGAAGGGAGAGAATAAGCCCCTTCTAAGTGCGGATAAAACCAGTGGGCAAATGACCCCATGGCGAAATGACAACCAAATGGAAAGGACTCTCCCCAGTGTAGCTCCAGACGGGGCGATAAAACACACAGGAGAAGGACAATCAGAGAAGAGCACGGAAGGAGTGCCCCCCAAGGATTCAAAAAACGTGCATAGTAATGAAGACGAACAAACAGATCTCCTACCAAATGTGGTGGTGAAGGATGTCATAAAGGAGAAAAACTGTGTGAGTGAGGAATTGGTGAGTCCCTCCCAGGGGGAGCTAAACCAGCAAGAGAAGTCAATCCCAAAGGTGGATTCCGCCAGCGAACCAACCAATGGAAATACCGTCCTGGAAAGGACGAATAAAACGGGGAAGGAGTACCCCAATGCAGAGAACACCCCAGAGGAGGAAGACACCAAAAAGGAACTGCTCAGAAGAGTCAGCGCGGGGAGTGAAAATAGTCAATCCGCAATCGAAGGTGCAAAGAGGGGAAGTGAAAAAAGACAAAGTGATGGGAAGAAGAGAAACTCATCAAACGTATCTGCACTGACCAAAGGAAACAGGAGCAACAGAATAAAAAATGTCTCTGTGGATAAGGAGTCGATACAGAATTCGTACTTTGCTCGATACATTGTGAACAAGGGGGGTGACAGCACGAAAACCGCCAAGAATGCGAAGAATGGGAACACCGCCAATTTCGCCAACACTGACAACGCCGCCAACGCCGCCAGCACTGTAGCAGGGGGAAACGTACCGGGGTGCAGTTTAATAATGAAGGCTCCCAACCAGAGGGAGGAGGCCGAAGTGTCCAAGGGGACGCCCCATAAGGGGAAGAAGAGGAAAGACAGAGCCGTTCTGGGCGAGAACAGCACGGCGTCGAAATTCAACTTCACGCTGTCGCACGACGTCACGGTGGATGACAACAACGTACCGCTGAACCCGGCCAAGAAGGTGAAAAGCAGGCTCAAGCAGAGGGGTGCCGCGCAAAAGGACGCCGAAAAGGACGCGGAAAAGGAAGCAGCCAATGTGGCTATAACAGAAGGTACAAATGTAGTGCCCGCTCCACCCGGGAAAACACTCCCAGACAGGGCAACCAAAGTGCTGACGAAGAGCCCCATTGCAGATGCCACCGAACTGGCCAAGCAACACAACAATAATTTAGGAATAATGGAAGATATGCCCAATATGCGCACCCCCCAGAAAAGTCACATACCTGCCCCAAGTCACTATAAGCACCGGACCAGCGACAATATCGACATGGAGAAGTTTAGAAACTTCGACGCCAATTTTATTAACTACTTGGGAGACATACGGAGCCACTTCAGTGACCCCTTTGTCAACTCTAATAGCAATCGAGTGAACAGCCGCCTTAAAGAAATTGCCGTAGGGAAATCCACGAAGGAATACAAAAATTACGTCAAGGTGGTGAAATATGAGGAAAGGATGGATGACGACCCCAGGACGCCCAACGCGTATGAGAATGTTACGAATGCCAAGTTTCAGGCGAAGTACAATTTGTGGAGGAAGAAGCTGCACAAGTTTGACTCCATCGGGTAGGCGGCTCAATACGGGATCGTTATCACCTTGAAGTAATGCCTCTACGCACGTGGTTAATCTCGCCCATGTGGGCCGCTCCGTGGGAACCACCTTAGGTTTGCGCCTGACGTGTTTGGTTAGCTTCCTTGATGGGTTACTTCCCTTGATGGGTTACTTCCCTTGATGGGTTATTTCCCTTCTTTCCCTCTCCCGTTTTGCCTCTTTTTTTTTTTTTTTTTTT